TCAAAACGGTAATCAGCAACGACTACCCATTTGCTGCTCCTCTATGCAGTCTCGAATCACGCGCATTTTATCCTGATGTTGGTTCATCAGGTATGTGAGTTGTCGTGTTTTTTTTTTCAAAAACAAACAGTGTCCTCAATTGGGGAAAAGAGAAGATATGGAAAGTCAATGCGTCTTTCTGATAAGTAAGAAACAAATGATCAATCGACCAGATTTGCTGCGGAGAAACTTTTCGAATGACGTAACCATTCGAAAGGTGGAATTTCTTTCTACAGGCTCCCCGTCGCAGATCTGTCACAACATCCTTCTATAACGGTGTGATCTCCACTGAAACTAGCTCATGTTTCTAGCCCAATAAACCTCTATCTCTGGACTATTAGTAGTCATAAAAAAGCTTCTTGCTTCCTGATGCCAATTCTGTGCTTATACCTTAAAAAGACTGTTTTCCTGCTAAGCAGCAGGTAAAGTAATTTGCAATGGACATGGAAGAATGGACGATCGAGAATCAGATCACATCGCTGTGGGTGTGGCGCCCACGTGATTGCCTAGGCAATACTTCACTAGGCATTCATATTACCGCTCACTAGTCGCGGCAGCCCAGCGCCCGCGTGATTCGCGCAGGACCTTGTTGCTCACAAGGGGAAAATTGACTTATTACCAGCTGCGCTGCAGCTTATTTTACCTGCTATGTTCTAGAGAGATAGTCTTCTTAGCATATAAGCACGGCGCTGGTATCAAATTCGATCATACAATCGAATGACTACTAATAGTCCAAAGAAAGGGTTCTGTCAGGCGAGAAATATGCGTGTCTGAAGCCAAGAAAATATCGTCTTGCAGCAGCGTTTTCTGAAAACCGGCTACGTGTGGCTGTAAATATCAAGCCTCAGTTTTCGAATGGCTGCTCACGCTTTCGCATATCCACAGCCTATATAGAGGGTACTTCGGTATTTATTCTAGTCATCAATATCACACGAAACACACGATCCGTCATAACGAATGGAAATGAAAACACAGTGATATTTTTGTTCTATACGATCCGTCTTCACATTTTATTCTGCTGATCCCTGTACTTCTAGCGCTCCATTTGTATCTCTACGTTCATGGTTTGCTCTAAGATTTTGTCTTCTTAATGAGCGTCATACAGCTTTGGTGAAGCAGATCTCTTTGCAGTCTTGAGACTAGCCAGGCTGAGCCTTTTCTTATAGCGTTCATTGATTTGTCGTATTTGTGTTCAGCAGTTACAAGGTGTTAATTATAGTATTTAGTGAATACTAGTAATGCAGTGCAATACAGCGAAGTATAAATACAGCATGAATAGTACAACAATCGCGGTGGCTCATGTTTCGGCGACGTTTCCGATCTTCAGATCCTGGAAAAGTCAAAGTGATCCGCAAATCATTCAGTCAAAAGCTTCCATAACCTCAGCAGGAAAGTCAGAAACGATTTTTTTGATCGCATAGTAAGAACGTCAATATAAAAGAACACTCACCGCTTAGATGTCTTAGGTCGCTTGCTTATTTATTGAAGACCTGCCACCTAGAGTCAGTGCGCAAGTGAGACTGTACATTGCGCAGGCCGGCAAGATTGCCTGAGTATGTAGGAGGTCGCGCGTTATTTTCTAAATCTGCCCTTTTTAAGCAGCTTACTTGGTTAGAGATAGAGGGCAGGATGAATGGAACTTTATCTTCTCCAGACCTTCTTTTCGGGGTTGCCAAATTTCGTCTAATCCTAACCTGAGGAGCTCCTACCGTGTTGTAGCCATTTGAGATGGCTAATTTTCATGCCAAGCTTAGGTACTCTATCATATGATCTTTTCCTGTGCACACACTAACAGCTGTTCGAGACACTTTTTTCACAAGTGCGCATTTTGTGTGCGACGGATGAGAAGATAGATAATGTACCAGATTGCATTGTTGCTTGACTTGCTGTACCATTTGTGTTGTAGTAGTTCTAGAACAGGTTGGTTTGAACGTTCAAAAGTGGCAGCCAATTGGACTTAGGTTTCTCAAGGGTGAACTTTATGTACTCTGAATGACTATTTACCAACGCAGAACATTTGTCCATCTTCTATTGTGTTGAGCAGATGACAAAGCAATCATCTTTACACCTATAGTAGAGTAACGGCCAGATCACTTTCATTGATTGGTTGCGGGATTCTATTAAGGGTGGAGAGGAGAAATAAATCCCGCGCCAACCATCATTGACCACTTTACTGCATCTCTGCATATGTACAATGATTATACAATGAACATCTGTTTAATTTAGTTCTGGCATGCAAAATAAACCCGAAAATAGCTCACAGTAACGTGTTATAACGTCATCACATTTGATACCGCGTCATATCACTGATCGATTTTTTGTTCTGAGTGAAGCACACTTTTCGTCCATGTACACCAGTGTGCGGGCCGGTCTTCTATCTCTCAGGCCACTCATAAAGAGTGATACGGTGAGTGTTTGAATGAGGTTATTTACACCGTGATTTTGAACTCACCTGTATCGTCCCTTGATCGTCGAGTGATACGAGCGTGTACAAGCAACATTTCCATTTGTCCCTGTCGCGTGCAAGAGTAGCCCCGAGGGTCCTCTTCGCTCCAGGGATTCCCTGAGCATCACAGCCGAGCAGGAATTTGTAGGATATGTTCATCAAATATCTCTGTTCTGATTATGAAAAGTTTGTCTAAACGGCTTACATGTCAGTTTCACCTTTCCAGGCTCTCGAGTGGCTTCATTATATCTGGCTTGAACAACCTCGTGCTAGCTCATCAAGAGAACGCTGTGTTGGATTGCTCACTGAGGTGGCATTAAAGTAATTTTTTTTTGAAATCTTTTTCATCTCACAAATCTCTTTTTGGTACTCCTTCTCTTTGACGGCGACATCGATTATTCGACCTCATTCACCGCGACAAGTAATTTTCGTAGGATTTTTAGTAATCATTCGAAAGTTTAAATTTCAAGTTAAAACACAAAGTGGCCGGTTTTTTCAAAAAACCCTTAACAATGATGCAAAATTCAAAATAAAATTATGTTTCACACTACCATGCATTATTTTCCTGTCTCGCTATATCTCGCTGAACTTCCTTAGTGTGCTAAAATTCTTTCGATAGTACAAGTCGCAAAGAACTCAGAAAAGTGCTTGCTTCTTTAGAAAAGCTTTTTCATGGAGCAGCAGGAGAAAGAAAAAATTGTGCTTAAAGCCTCACTAGACAGTGTTCTCCCTTTACACTACTAGTAATCATTCGATAGCGTAAGTTTCAACAATTCCAAAGCTGTACTTATTTTCTGAGGAGGACCGTCTGACTGCAGTATAGCTGGGAACATGAGGTCGAATTTACATCTTCGACAAGCTTGTTCATCGCCTAATCTGCAATCTAATCTCATTCGATCGTCCATAGTGCCATATCGCGCTCAAGGCTCACTAAGACTTTGATCCATGTGGGTTTTGTTTCACTTACTAAAGCGGCAAGCCATCAAGAGACAAGAGCGGACGATGTTCACACACGTTTTTTCCGATTTTGCTTCAAGCACGTGTCAGAGTCGTTTTACGTGCCTCTACACCAGTGTAGCGAGTGGCTCAGAAATTTTCCTCCAGCATGGGCGAAGAAGCAACTCATTAAAATAATATTCGGATAATTTGGCGACCAAGTGTCTCTGCTTCAAACGAGCCTGGAAAAAGCTCTTGATAAATGGCAATCGTTGAGCGGAAAGAATGCGCAGCAGCCCAGTCATGCTGAAGCGCAAATTCGTCGGCGCCAGTCTTGAGTAATTGCAGGTTCCTGTACACTTCGAATTACTTGCTGCTAATAGCTGTCCGCGTTGGTGTGACGTTTGTATTGATGAAAACCAACGGCGGTTTTTTCGGTGGCGCAAATGTTGCCCCAGGCATTATAGAAGTCAGTAAATGAATTGCTCCATGCCATTTGTTACTGCAGATTTCTGTCGACTCTTTTGAGAAATTGGCTTCGATTCTGGCGTTTATATATTATTTCGACCTTGCATATTTTGTCATTCGTGAAAAGCAACTTTGACAAAATGAGAGCAAGAGATTAAGTAAATTACACGGCACAACTTTGAAAGCCGCTTTTCCTCGATCTTTTCGTCTAGAAAGTGAGCACAGGAGATCTTGTAACTGCACACCTTTACCATATATTTGGCAGTGTTGCGGGCGCACTGGCTGATCCTGAGCTTCCTTGCCAATTTACGCATCGAACGCACAGCATTTCATTGAGCTCGGTGGCAGATCTTTTGATGTTTCCCGGAATAGACGAGGTGATTGGGCGACCTTTTCAAAGATGGCTCAATCCCTCCAACCCTTCAAATGTTTTCACGGTTTGTGTAGAGACTTTCTGGCATAAAAAAAATATTGTAGCAATATCGGTCGATTTCATTCCTGCCTTGTGCAACTCAACTGCTGCGATACTCTTATTTTTGCAATCCGTTACTTTAGCATAACTCAGAATGGGTAAATAAATTAATAAATAAGATTTTAGGAGAGAGTTGAACAGTGGATTCAATTAATTATTAGTATTCCTAAAAAAAGTGTTACGTTAGAACTATAAATTGACAAAATACAAATTATCAGAACTCTTTCACGCACCCTGAACACTCTAGTTTCGGACCATCATATAACATGTTTGTAGATTCAATTTTACCAGCATTGTAACATCATATCACTTTTTTATGACCGCACTGTCCGTAACATTTCATTGCATCGTTGGAATACATCCAGGACAGCAACATCTTGAGATATTGCACTTTCACGGACTGACACCTCTGTGGACCACTAGTAAGGGTGACCCGTAGGGAATATCTCTGATGAGGTTGGCTGAGACCGAGCGTACATGCGCCAGTGCCGCACCAGCCTCGGAAAGGCTCTCAGAATGAAAATTTGTTGTATTTATGTCGGCATAGTTCAATTGGGGATGAGAACACGGATGAGATTTCAGCATATTGGATGTGAAAACGGCATTCTTACGCTGGGAAGCTGAAATGCAGCTGTGAATAGCGAAAAATGGGCTGCGGGACTCGAACCCACATTCCGGAAAGCGTGCTTTACCAGCTGCACTATCTTCGCCCGTTTTGTTACCACCCTTTCTACTTTATACTGCAAAATGCCTTTATTAAGGTTTTCTTTGTAATAGCTCTTCTTTTAAAGTAATAAAATGAAACTAACAAATAAATTACCCATATTGATGCCATTAAAATCGTTGGGAATTTTGAGCGACTGCTTGTTAATGCGAGCATAAAATTTGACCTTTTTATTATTTTCAAAGAGCTCCACGGAGACATTTCGAAGAACCAATTCCAGTTTCAAAATTCTTGAAATTTAAGTTGCCGAAAGACTATTTGAAGTTCGTCAAAAAGCCTTCTAAGGATTCCCAGCGGAAGAAAAAAAAGCTAATCGAGTATGATATATGACATTAATGTTGCTTCTACAATGCACTGAGAGAGATGATACTGCATAGGCATGAGATATCGCATAGTTACCAAAAGTCTTGGAAAGGTTTTCTCAGCTTAAAAACGTTTCTGATAAGTCGTGTGCCAGTACAGATATACCTTTACTCAAAGAGGTTATCAATTGCACTGATATTCAATGAGTAACTGTAATCAATATGGATTCAGATTGATAGGCGGCTTCATGGGAAGGAGCAGAAAAAATTACAATCAATGAATTATTTTTAGGTCACCCTTAAATAGGCTTCTTCTAACCATATCTGAATCACATTATGCTATTTCCCTATTATCTTAAGAAAAGTGCGCGGAGTATTTTGTTGAACAGACTGCACCAAATATCCGTAGAGTAGATATGTGATTATCCGTAATAGATATGTGATACAGACAGCTCAAGGAACAAACAGCAAAAATGATTGGCAAATTTCATAGAGACATGCGATTCTTATTTTATACCATTGCAGATTGCCGGCAGGTTCTAAGCGATGAGCTTCTGTGGAGCCCTAGACGAGATGTTAGTTGAATTCCTAACTTTTCAAAAATGAATAAATGTCATTTGCTGAGAACAACGTCAAGAATTTTCACACGATTGCGCTTCCACAAAGTTCGTACTGATTTCTCTCGTAGAATTAGGTTTTTACATCTTCTACTACATGAGAGAAAATAACTCGACTCCATCAACTACAATTATTCGTATTCGTCTTATAAGTCATCACTGTCAAAATCTTCTTCCATTCCAAGAACAGGTGTGTAAGTTTATTTTTCACTTGGTTTTTGACTTCCTTGTGAACCCACTGAAAGCTAGAGTGGTTGAATCTCTCAGTAATCTCGGAACTAGCGCTTTATTGTTTTCACATGCGACCTATATGAATTCGCTGGCCATCAATCCGATGAAATAAGCAAAAGACATTACTGGTATAATTCTACCTACAGGAAAAGCTTAAGAAATGGCTTACGATGGGGCAGCTTGTACTACATAGCATACCCAAATATTAGGTTGAGGGCAAATTAAAAACTGCAATAAATATCCCTCAAATAAAGACCAACAGTATCCACGGCGGTCTTCTGCCAACTATTTAAGCTTCCGGACATGCTCGAAATACTTTTCCATTTCACCATCTCTTGGGTTTAGAATCAAAAAAACTCCTCAAATGAAACTTTAACTTGACCAAATGTCTTGAATATCCGTGCACGTAGAAAATGTTCCATTGCGAAGGAAATCGGGCCATAATCGGACGGCGTAGTATCTGGACTGTAATCTGGGTAAGACAAGATCTCGACTCACTTTGATTTATTAAACTTTCACTTGCTCTTCTTCTCAGTGTTAGATTTAGCATTGTCTTGCTGGAACCAGCGCGTGTATTTGTTGTAGAGGCAGGCCGCAACAAAGGCTGTCTTCGAGAATGAGATCATCTTTATCAAATAGTTTGTATTACTTTGCATCTTTAACATGGCTCACAGTTTCTTCACTTTCAATACCACAGATCACCTTTGCAGCATCTTTTATCGTATGTTCTCGCCTGCAGCAATAGCTTCTCAAGATTCGAATCATAGTTTTGTCCATCGTTATCATTTGATATCCGAGGAGTGATTTAAAATTTCATGCGCCATAACAAGTAATGTTGTATAAAATTCTTACGGAAGTACTTTTTAGATATTTCCATATATTTGCACTAACCGCTACTGCGTTAAACAACATGAAATTTTATTTGTATTTGCGGGTGTTGAACATCTTTTTCCTCGATGTGGTATTTCACATCCTACATTCAAAAAATGTTCAAACAGGGAATTTTGTAAGGAATTTGAACGGAAAAAATCTCTTTGACTTTAGCATTGGAGAAATTGATATAATGTCCGAGAAGTAATATGCTGCAACACTAGTCACGACGATGTGAATTAGAAAAGGCTCCTCGTAGACAACTCTGATACCAGACCTCAGAGAGGCTGTATGGCTCAATAAACGAACGAAACGCCAGAAATGCATTGTTTACAATACGGAGAAATTTGAGCCATCACTCTACTTTGACTCTACTTCATCTTTACCACTACAATATCCACATCGGGAATACTGATAGATTTCAGAACAATCGCCTTTTTTTGTTTGACCAATGGTTTGCATGACTTTCGGGTTAGATGATTAAACAAGCGTGGTCTAAACGAATCGTGATATTTTGTTGTCTTCCCGTTTATGTAGCTAGAGGGAAGTTTCAATTCCAATAAACACTATCACAAAATTGTAGTCCAGAGTCATCTCCATTTCTGGAAATACTTTCATAGTAGATTCAATTTTAAAATAGGCATTTTTAGGGTGCTATTTACACTGTCAGCAGTTTGAAAGAAACTGGAAAAGCTGCGAGGGCAAATTGCTATCTCATGAGATAAGAATTCATTAGACGATAATGGGTAATGCAGTGCCCCAATTGAAGTAGGTAATACCTAATCGTGACTATGAAAAAATTTGAGAATTTAGCTCTCAAACAGACTTCTTTGTCATGATTGCATTAAGATGGACATCACACTTGACAAGCGTGAGATGCTTTTGGAAAGTAAGCAGAAGACTCTGTTCCATCTGCAGGAGGCAAACGGGGAACTAAAACGGAGGCTATCGTTGAAGGTTGGTGTTCAGTCGCTTTGAGAATCTCCTCGAACGAACTTAATATCCGTAAAATGTAAACGAATAATTTTCAGTTGACAATTCCACTGGAATCGTGATCTGCTGAAGAATTTGCTCTATCATAAGTCTGTTTATTAATGTTTACAGTCTTTTCGAGATTGGTATGTCAGAAGCATACGTAGCTTCGCGATACCGCGTGCTTCATCAGTGCATCACGCTCCACGCTGAACCCTACTTCATAGCAGGGATGAAAATATGTTTTGGTGATAGCACGTCTTACTGTGATATCACCATTATTTTTTAAGTCGATTGTATACGTCCTGGCAGCGTATTATCTATACATCCATCCAATCGACTATTTATAAAACTCGCTTCTAACACACAATTTAGCTTTTGAAGAGTTAGGAGCCTTATTTCACGGGTGAGCTTTATGTGCTCTGACTAACCATTTTAGCAACTCAAAAAATTTGCCCATCTTCTCTTGTGTTGGACAGACGACAAAGCAATCATCTATGTAACCATAGTAGAGTTACGGCCGGATTACGTCCTTTGGATTGATTGCGAGATATTATTAGGGGTGGAAGGGAGAGATAAATCCCACTAACCACTTGGCCACATCTCAGCATATGTACAGTGATTGTAGATGAATATGATGTATCACTTTACATCCATAGTAAAGTTTATTTAGTTTGACTCTGACTTGCAAAATAATCCCGAAAATAAGTCACAATGTCCTGTTAATGCTATCACGTTCGACACCGCGCCATATCACTGATCGATTTTTGATCTGAGTGAAGAACACTTCTCGCTCATGTAGACCACGGTGCGGGCGGTCTTCAGAATCTTTTGGGCCACCCACAAAGAGTAATACGGCGAGTGCTTGAACGAGGCTGTTTACTTCGTGTTTGAAAAATATATTCATCAAATAACTCTGTTCTGGTTGAAAATGTTTGTCTGAGTGAGTTACATGTCAGCTTCACCTTACCAGGGCTCTCAGATGGTTGCATTACGTTTGGCTACAAACAACCTCGTGCTAGCTCATCAAGACAGCACTCTGTTGGATTGCTCACTAAGGTGGCAATTAGGTAACTTTTTTAAATCTCATTCGCCTCATAACTGGTCTTTTTGGTACTTTTCTGTTTGACGGCGGCAATCGGTTATTCGACCTGTCTAACCGGGCAAAAAACTCTCATAGGATTCTGCTATCGACTGCTTTTTTACAGACCCGCTCAAAATGATTTAATCTGATAAGGATATGACTTATTTTGAGCCATAGGTCTAGTGCTATATAGGCGCCTATTTCGTCCTATTGGGACTCATCAGTAGCACCCTCCCTCGGTTCCGTCGATCCCTTGAGGTTAAATAATCCTCTAAAGGAATCGGCGCCGAGTAAAAACTAATCACCCAAAGTCGGATGATGGTCTTACCTGACTTCGTGGTGACCGGCAGTCGAGCTTACGGCTTTTAAAATGAACTATACTTCTGCTATCGACTGCTTTTTTACAGACCCGCTCAAAATGATTTAATCTGATAAGGATATGACTTATTTTGAGCCATAGGTCTAGTGCTATATAGGCGCCTATTTCGTCCTATTGGGACTCATCAGTAGCACCCTCCCTCGGTTCCGTCGATCCCTTGAGGTTAAATAAATAGGCGCCTATATAGCACTAGACCTATGGCTCAAAATAAGTCATATCCTTATCAGATTAAATCATTTTGAGCGGGTCTGTAAAAAGCAGTCGATAGCAGAAGTATAGTTCATTTTAAAAGCCGTAAGCTCGACTGCCGGTCACCACGAAGTCAGGTAAGACCATCATCCGACTTTGGGTGATTAGTTTTTACTCGGCGCCGATTCCTTTAGAGGATTATTTAACCTCAAGGGATCGACGGAACCGAGGGAGGGTGCTACTGATGAGTCCCAATAGGACGAAATAGGCGCCTATATAGCACTAGACCTATGGCTCAAAATAAGTCATATCCTTATCAGATTAAATCATTTTGAGCGGGTC